GACAGAAATACTTTCAATTATTCTTAACTCCGAAAGTCAAGGTATAAAATACTAGTTGGTGTCACCGGTTGAAGTTTGAATGACATGTCAAATTTGATCTCTTTTTTTCACATGTTAGAGGAGTAAACTTGGTTTGTTTATATTTTAAACAGGGAAACAGGAAAATCAGCAAATGGACTTTATTTTGTCCGCTTTCTCGCCCACTCCATTTCTATATTAGTTTTTGAAAGGTCAAAATGTATATACAGAACAATATTAGATTTTCTTTGGATTTCTTCCTTAAAATTGTCCTAAAACTTGTTATCCAAAAGATATCGAGCTAGAAATATACAAATAATGAAAATTTTCAGAGTTTGTGTAAATTTCCATTTCCATTTTCTTTCATGAAATCTTCCTAGTTTTAAAATGTGAAGCACTGACTCTAAATATATATATGTATATTGTAACAATCGACTATTTGCTTTTGTACACTATCCCCTCATCTGAGCTTGCTTTTCCTGTGCTTTTGTTTTACGTTATTTCCTTTAAAACACGTGAGCTTGATTTTACATTTTCATGTCGTAACGCTTAACTATCATTTATTTACCTGTTTAAACATGGAATATTTTTATTCTAATCATTGTCACATGTTCACAAATCAGATACATCTGAAACAGCTTTCGAAAAGATAAAAATTAATATTTAAGCGTTGGTTAGTAAAGTATAAACTATTCAATAAATTATTTCTAAATGCATGCAAAAATACAAATTAATAAAGATGAACACAAAATGGTAAAATATACGTATATGCATTTTTACAGGCTTCAGATAATTAAGGAATTAAGCTTATTTCAACTTTTTTTATACGATAAAACATGACTTGGGGCAGTTTACGCTTCATAAACCGCGAAGCGGTTTATAAAAAAGCGTAAACTGTCCAAAGTTATGTTATGTCGTATAATATAAGGTGAAATAAGCTTCATTCCTTATAATTTAATTTCAGTGTAGACAATGATACAATTTTCCCAATTTTTCCCTCTGAAAAAGGCTTCAAATATAGCATATTTAAAAAGTTAACGTCTAGCGAAGTAATACGTTTTTGACGTATCTCTTTGTGATGTAAGCAAGTTATGTTATAGAAAATGGATAAAACCGTTTAACCAATCAAATGACGTGTTACAACTGAAATTAAATTATATCGAGATAACGATAAAATTCTTTGTACAAATATCATTTTCTCATTGCAAAAGATATCCTAGAATAACAAACAAAATTTAAAACAGTGGGGAAAAAATCACATTTAAATCTCATTTGTTAAGACTGTTCGATTCTTTTTGCGGTATGATTTCTCTTTGCCCCTTAGTGACGTAAAGATACAAACAACATTCCTTTAAGGGTGTTCACTTCCCTTAACAAGTATTTAATTATCCACTTTCATTTCTACGTATAACCCTGATGCTCAAATATTTGTTATTGTCCTTTTTCAGTTTTTTTTTTTAATCGCAAGTGCGTAATAAATGTTAGAAAAGAGAATGTTGCCAAACAGGGTCCACTGGTGCGTTTAGTTGCGTCAAGTAAGGAGTGAAAAATGTCTATAATAAATCTGAAAAATGAACTTCCTGATATATGATACATATGTTTATTTGAATAATATATAAATGATTTTTATTATCAAAATATATATCACATATTCGATTTCTGTCACGTTTGGCACTAAAAAAAAACAGATAAAACACAAAATATTAAGGTGCTTGGCAGGTAAATAGACAAAAACAAATACTTTAAAGAGGTAAATAAGGTTTCATATTTGACATTTTTGGTCAAAGGCTTTTAGATTTGACGTTTTCTGAAAACGTTTATTATATAAGGTTGCTTATATTTTAAAATAAAAGTGTGTACGTACTTTCCTTTAAAGGACACAGTTTATTTAAACGGACCCATTGTCCTTTCAAATGAACTTGACTTCGACAAAATAAACAAAATAATATTAAGCTTTTTTTTTTAAATACACCCCTTGCTATTACACATGTATACTCTTTAGAATAATCAAAACTTTCGATACAAAAAGTACAAAATAATGAATAATCGTTATGTTACAACTGATATTTGATAGAATGTTTTTGTGAACACTGTAAAGGTGTCAAAAATCTCTCATCATTAATCCAACATTATTATGATAAGCTCTGTTCTGTCTTAAAAGCACATACAGATATTTAGTATATTTCATTAATAGCACAATAAATTTGAAATAGTTTAGATTTATACGGTTTCTACACTTGCTAATGTTTCAAAAATTAACATTAGTTATTTTCATTTTTATGTTGACCCGATATATCCCCGTTAAATTCAAAACAAAAAACACCATGCAGTCTCTGTCCCATCTGTTTCATATTTGGATATTTTTCTGACTATAGACGATAAAAGCACACTAACATCTAAATAATATTACAAACGTGTTGACGAGATTTTTCCATCGCTTATATGTAGTAGTATTCCAATTTTACTTGCTTAAGGTGTTTAAATCTCCCAACCGATTTGCTACACATGAATTGCTCTGAGTTCTGCCAATATTTAGAGCGAGTCATGCAATTAGTTGATGTTATAAAGATTTTTACAACTTCGACATTTCGAAAATTCTATTACAATTACCTTGTTAGAATATTTATATAAACTATCTTTCGATCGTATTTTTGCTGACTTGATTCATTTCAGTTGTAAGGCCATTAAAAATCAAGAACAGAGCAGACACGAAACTAAAAACATCGGAAATAGGTTCATGTGTCACGGAGGAGTAAGTAACTCCTGATACACCCGCCATTTACTACTTGTCATCATCGGGCAAAAAGGAGAAATCCGTAGATAATTCATTGTGTAAACAACAGTCTAAAAATTGGTAAGTTGGTCTGTATACATGATAAAATTTATAATGCAACTTAAAATACGTTTGTTTATATTATTGTTTCATTAACTTGCTTGTCAATAACTTGTCTCGTTACATATTTAATCAACTGGGAGACATAAACCTCAGATGTCGGTGACAAGGTTTATTTAAGAAATAAACAACAATGTTAAAAAGTTCTCTGGGAAATGAACTTTTAGTTGGTCACGTGATCAAATCCTGAGAAGCCCGAAGGGCTTCTCAGTAGATTACTAGTTCCTGCTGACAAAGCAGGTAACAACATTGACTTCGTTTGTAAGGCTCATTATATAAATTGTATATTGTATTTTAGAAGAGCTTTAATTTAATTCTACAGGAGGTTATCCAACTTATACTCGTAGTTCCCTTTCTAAGGAAGAAATTCTTCAAAACCATATGCCAGTTTTAAATATTGTTAATATTCCGAAGACCCAACATGATCTTGAACTACCATATATACATTATGGATTCCGAAACTTCATAAGAATCCTTTCAAACAAAGATCCGTTGCGGGTTCCAGTAAATGTTCAACCACTCCTCATTCTTTACTCCTCACTAAGATATTGACAGTAGTAAAGGAAAAACTTCAAGAGCACTGTGCAACAATATATTCAAGAATTGGTGTGAATCAGTTGGGGCTACTCAAAAATTCCAAAGAACTTTGAACAATCTAAAGTCACAAGATTTTACAAAAAATCAACAGCTTAAAAACTTCAACATTCCCTACGATAAACTTAAGTCCGGGCTTTTTGATATCATTGACAGCTGCTTTTTCAATAAAAATGGAACTCGTAAATTAACTTCCTTGGTCATTGGTCATTTGCAAAATTATTTTGTTAAAACACAAGTACTCTGAAGTTGACATAAAAATGCTTGAATTTCTGATTGACAATATCTATGTGGTTTTCAGAGACCAGATCTTCCAACAATCTATTGGAATTCCCATGGTACATTTATGCTACGTTATTAGCAGACCTATTTTTGTATTCATATAAAGCAGAATTTGTGCAAAATCTTATGCTCATGTGGAAGGAAGAAAACACTTGCTGTGGCCTTCAACTCAACATTTAGATATATTGACGACAAATTGTCAATTAACAATGATTATTCCTATTCCTATGTCGAAACGATATATCATGGCGAGCTTGAGATAAAAGATACCACAGAGTCTGACACATTTGTTTCATACTTGGATATTTTACTTGAAAAAGACGTTAATGATAATCTAACAACCAGGCTCGAAGATAAACGTGATGACTTTAACTTTTTATTGTGAACTTCCATTACTTATGCAACAATATATATCTTCATCACCTGCATACAGCTTTATATATCTCAGTTGATTCGATACGCAAGAGTATGTTCTACGTGAACAATTTCTAAATCGAGGTAAATTATTGACAAACAAGTTAATGAAACAAGAATATCAGCAGTCTCGTTTAAAGTCATCATTTCGTAAGTTCTATGGTCGATACAATTACCTTGTCAGCAAATAAAATTTATCATTGAGTCAAATGCTGACTGACGTTTTTCATACTAATTGTTAATCCATTATTTATACACTGAATTGACAACTGATTTTTCCGTTATTTCCCAAGCATGACAAGGAGCACACAGTGGGTGTGACCGGTCAGCAGGGGATGCTCACTCCTCCATGACACCTGATCCCACCTCTGATGTTTTAGAGGCCCGTGTTTGCTATGCTCCTATTTTGTATTGTTTTATGGACTTTGATATTCCATATTGTTCGTTATCTCCATATGCTTCATTGTTTATGAATGCACTATGAATGAATATATCTATATGAAATTTGCTATATATAACGATGAAAAATGTACTTAACGGAAGTTAAAATTTTAGAACGCAGTGATGATTATTTTTCAATCTAGACATTTTGTCCACGATTTTACCGGACAACTTTCATACATGTAGGGCCTATGGAGGGTGTAACCAGTCAACAGGGAATGCTTATTCCTCCAAGGTATTTTGTTATTTAAGTTTTCTTTATTACTGATTTGTTTTGTTACTATAGCTATTTAAAGATTGAACACTTCTCTTCACTTATCCCATATCATTATCATTAATGACAAAAATGTAAAAAAAATTCATTAATTTGAAGGACAAAATCGTGTTTGATCTATCCCCTTTCTATTCCTTTGAAAGTACCATAGAATAAACTTCCTCTTCTTTGAAACTAATATCCCAGTAAGTTCCCGGTAAGAGAAACATCGGTCTCTGGTTAATTTGCAGGAATCTCTCCTAATTTTTCTTTTGTACACACACTTACAAGATCCACCTCTCTCAATTAACCTTAATTGTTTCTTCATTTTGGATCCCAGTCTAGATATCGGCCTATGTAAGTAGGTATCTGTAATTCAGAGGAACGTTATGTTTTTGAAAATTTAGTACTATATGTTATAAAATGTGCAAAAATTACACCTTCTTACGTCAATCAAATCAGCATTGATGAATATTTTTTGACAATTATTGTGTCATTACTAGATTTATCGAGTATAATTTTAAGATCAAATTTAGCGAAATACATATTTTAGTATACGTATATTTCTTCCGTCAAATATTATGTCAAAAAGACTTTAAATTTAATTTTAATCCTTTAATTCTAACAGTACCCAGTGAAGTTTTGCAATATTTCTTTAATGTCATCTTCTTTCTCACACATCTCCTGGGACATCGGCGACGAAATCTTATTTGACGAATTTTTGTTTTCCAGCATCTAGATAATAGAGATTATTTCTATAAATCAGGGTTACATATATTTTCTTAATTTTTGTGTAAAAACCAGCTTCTTTAAGTTCAAATAAAATGGGATTTTTTCCTCAATATTCTAAATACAAACAAGTGGGTGTTATGGTAAGCAAGTTTAATTAATGTTTGTGACCGTTATCCCATAGGCACGTCGTGCGTAATTAAAAACGATTTGTTTGGTCATCGGGTTTGGGAAAGACTTGAATTAATATTACGTTTAACATTAGTGCGATGTGTACATCCTTGAAAAATAATGTTTCTTACCTTTTTCCTACCTTCTTGATACCAAAACAACATGTATGTGTTCTTGAATTATAGATAGATGCACTTGGCATGCAACATTGCATTCCTTTTTGAAGAGCTTTCTTGAAAATTCTTGAATTACAACAAAGGTCTTCCTTAGGATTAAATTCCCTTCGCCCACAAAGTGTTCGATTGTTTTTTCTGCTTACAATGTTTCGTTCCCAGCTGCAAACAAAGTTTGCAGAATTATAAGAAATTTGTCCATGTGCGGTTACACAGCATTTGTCATCTTCGGTGTTATTTTTCTGAATAATCTCCTCATTAGCAAAAAGAGTTTTGCCACAGCACACTTGATTTTGAGGGTCTAAAATCTGGCCATCACAACAAGTATCTTCAATTTTCGTAACACTACCTACAAATGAAAAAATCGTATCAGAACATGTTCTGTGTACCGATTTGTCGTGCAACATTTGAACATATACAGTTGATATTGAAATTTAAATGCACAAAATGAATGAGTTGAAATTAATTTTTATTTTTTGTTATCTTCGCCTAAATTAATATTGAGGAAGGAAAAGCAAATAAAGAAAGAGAGACTTAAGTCGCCACAATTGTTTTTGTTTTGTGTATAAACATTTAAATGTAAAATACATTTGACAAACTCCCTGACCGCAGTGTTCTTTAAATTTGATTGATGTCGAATCAAGTTTGGGGAAGTATATATTGCGCATTGTAATTCGACGTTTAATTAAAAATCTGACTAAAGGTAAAAGATTTAGAATACATTCTGCTTCATATGAATAAAGGTTGACTAATGAAGATACAGAAGTAGGAGAATTTGGATTCCAATATATTGTAGGATAGCTAGGTATACAGACATGTGATTATTGTCAATGAAGAACTTCAGCTTCTTTTTCATATCAATATATCATATTTGAAGTACTATAGAATCAGAATAATTTTCATCAAAGAAGAGTCGTAGATGATCGATCCTGATATTAAGATTTCTGAGTTTATTTTTTACCGTTTACAAAGACATTGTCTATGATGTTAATATTCCTAGAATACAATATGTGGTAATAAATGTTTGCTATATATCTTGAAAGTCACACGTTTGAGTGAAACAGATATTGAAAATAAGTTTTTCACTCTGCACTCTGCCCTTTTAGGGAGAGGGTGATTTAAGTTTTTAGAACTTATGCCCAATCCCATTGTACATTTTAGTACAATAAAATATGTTCAAATCAAATCACTCTGCATTTGTTATTGTAAGGTCATTTATTAGCACATTGGATTGTGTACGGCTTTTTTTTTCGTTTGCCTTATCATGACATGGAGCACACGGCGAATGTCGTCAGTTGATAAAGGATACTTACTCCTCCTTGGCAACTAATCAAACCAATGATATTTTGAAGGGTCCATGTTTGCTTTGCTTTGTATTGTTTTGTGCGACTTTTAAGACTTGATAATCACAATATTTCATATAAAAATAAAGTTGGTTTATAGAGTGTAAACATATATAATTTTATGAACGTAATCAATTCTCCTTACCACCACAACATTGCTCGTTTCTTTTATGATAACCCTTTCCTGCACAACAGTTTTCCACTTCATAGTTGATTATTATACTACCACAGCAGCGCCACCATGACCCATTTCTCCGCTTTATTTCTCCTTCACAACAATCGTGCGTTAAAGGGTTATATTCTCCTTCTTCAAAGACATAAAAGATGCAATGTTCATCAGAAAAGTGTTTTTAACTGTAAATGTTTTACTAGTATCATGTTTAAGAAAAAAAATCTTTTTAGACTTTTTGAATGAAACATATTGAGATAACGAACATTATTCAAGATCAAAAATCCTTTAAACAATACAAAATAGGAGCAGAGCAGACACGGACTTACAAAACATCGGAGGTGGGATCAGGTGCCATGGAGGAGTAAGCATCCCCTGACGACCGGTCACACCAGCCGTGTGCTCCTTGTCATGATAAAAAATAACGGGGAAATCCGTCGTCAATTCAGTGTATAAATAATGGACTAACAATTAGTATGAAAAACGTCAGTCAGCATTTGACTCAATGATAAATTGTATTTGCTGACAAGGTCATTGTATTAATCATAGAACTTACAAAATGATGACTTTAAAAAGAGACAGCTGAAATTCTTGTTTCATGAACTTGTCTGTCAATAATTCACCTTGTTTTAGAAACGCATTTCTATTCTTTATAACACAATGTAAGTCGACTTCAATCTTTTATCAACGTCTTCCGTCTTCAGCGGAAGACCTTACTCTTATTCTTAGGTTTCTTTTCCACTATTTTAAGGTCTTTCGGCTTCAGCGGAAGACCTTCTAGTGATTCTTAGGTTTCTTTTTCACTTTTCTTATCATTATCATTAAGGTTTTCCGTCTTCAGCGGAAGACCTTTCTGTTATTCTTAGGTTTCTTTCTCACTTTTATTATTTTTTTTTCTAACCGATTTTGTGCACGCGATTTCTTGAAAACAGCTGGATGGATTTTCATGAAACTTTCAATACTTATGTTTCATCACTTGAACCTTATGTTTTTTCTTTTTTGATGACGTTACTTCCGGTTTGAGATATTGCCGATTTTTTGCTTTTTAAAGGGTCGGGTTGTCCGGAGATTTTTTCATGAATGGCTCTAGATAGAAACATAAAACTTTCAGGTACGTTAGACCTATGTCTGTAGATGTGGATAACGCATTTCATTTTTACTGGAAATGCCGCACATTGGCGCTCACTATGGCTCCAAAAATCCTATAGGGAATTAAGAAATTTTTCACACCTTTTCTGCAATATCTTTTTACATGTTAATTTTTGTTAAGACATATAGAACAAAAGTTGTAGAGCATATCATAATCTTTCAAAGGATATCAATGATAAGGGGCTGGACCCTATAATTAATGGCCGAGAGGGGCCGAAAGTTTTTCTTTTATATCTCAAAAAGTATTGAGAATTTGTAATATGTCAAAGAAGCAGAGTTGTTTAAAATGTCAAGCTTAATCTATTGGGGTCGTCAAAATGCGTCCGGAGACGTCACTTCCGGTCAAACCGGAAGTAGACAGAAAAACATATATTTGCCGTTCTTGACATGTTTTTGGGCAACATATGTCACTGGAAGCAAAAAACTTAATTTTCCATCCGTCGACATCTTTTCCGGTCAAACCGGAAATAGCAAAAAATGGCTTAATTTTGCAATAATGAGCATAGATTTTGAGGATTTAAACCATTTTTTGATATCATTACTTATTTTATTTAAAATGAAATTTACTTCCGGTTAAGCAGGACGGAAGACCTACTCGTTGCTTTGCAACGAGCTTTGCTCTAGTTGGGTTTTTTCTTTCCGATTTTGTGCACGCGATTTCTTGAAAACGGCTCAATGGATTTCCATGAAACTTTCAGGACTAATGAGGCCTTACTTAAACTTGATTCATTTTTTTTCGTTTTGGTGACGTCACTTCCAGTTCTGCGATTTAATGATTTTTAGAGGGTCACCTTGTCCATAAAATTTCTCAAAAAGCACTTAACACAGAAGCATGAAATTTTCAGTGATGCTAGAACAACCTTTGGAGAAGTGTATTTGGTATATCATAACTACCGGGAGTACGAAGTGCCAACGCTTGCTATGGTTCGAAAATAGTCCTATAGTGAATTTCAAAATTTCTAACACCTTTTCTTCGATATCTTTTTACCTGGAAATATTTTGTTAATATATATAGAACAAAAGAAGTGTAGAATTCCAAGATCTTTCAAATGATTTCTCGAAAACAGGGCTGGTCCCTAACATAAGGGATCTAGAGGGGCCAGAATTTTTTTCTCAATATCTTTAAAAGTATTGAGAATTTGTAATACATCAAAGAAGCAAAGTTGTTCAAAATGTCAAGCTAAATCTAATGGGGTCGTCAAAATACATCTGGCGACGTCACATTCGGTGAAACCGGAAGTAGTAAAAAAAATGCATATTTTTGCAATTCTTGACAAGTTTTGAGGTAACATATGTCACTGGAAGCATAAAACCTAATTTTCCGTCCATCAATATCAAACCAGAAGTATAAAAAATGGCTTACTTTTGCATTAAATAACATAGATTTTGAGGATTTTAGACGTCATTACTTATTTTTTTTTAAAAAATGAAAGTTACTTCCGGTCAAACGGGATGGAAAAACTACTCGTTGCTTTGCAACGAGCTTTGCTCTAGTTTTGTTATTTTTGTGTCGATTGTTTATTTGACACCTTGCTTAAATGGCATATAACTGCCCTACTGCCTTTTACTTCAATGAGAAAATAAGGAATATCCATGATTCTAAGTTCATGTATCCTGAAACAATTTGCAGTGAATATGTTTGGGGTTTTTTTGTCCAAAGGACAATATTTTGAAAATGAGTTCTCTTAATAAAAAATGTGAATTATTAATTATGTTTTACATTTTGTATCTTAATAATATACGAATAACTTGTCTTACGATTTTGGCATAGAAGACGTCCTTTGGTGACCACTTTTTTCTCTACACAGTCATTTAAACTGTTATTAAATGTTACGGAACCACAACATCGAAGACCTCTATGGTTCCCTGTTCTCAACACTTGGTTGCAACACATCTGTTTTCTAGTGTCGTATCTCGTATCTCCACATTTGCTCTCAAATACATTCATGACTTCAGTATCTTGATAACATTGCTGAAGGAAAGCATCGAATGTCTCGTTACCACAACACAGCCTTGTGAAATTGAGTTTGTGAACCTTGTACCCACAGCACATCTCGTTCTTAAAACTGTAAATTGTTGATCCACAGCAAGCATTACTATCTGGAATTCAACAAAATGATTTATCTTAAATGACATAGTCATAGCATGCATGATTTTAACTGGACTTATATGATATGAAAATGTAGGTAACCTGTAGTAGTTACCTGGACTGTATATTGGATAATGAATCCCACCACAACACAAAGTTTTCCTGCTGTTGTAAATTGTGCTTTTGCAGCAATCTTGAACTGTACCATTAGCAATTCTCGGATAAAGAGAACCACCACAACATATATGAGTATCTGGATTAAAATACTGTTCATTCGTACCTGTAAACATGGTAAAGTCATTTAATTTCATTATAGTATGAGAGCACAAAACGTATTTTTACAACTTCTTTAAATCCATTTTCTGTAACTAATTTGTATTTGAAAACAAAATAAAATTATTCTTCGCTTTACAAAATGCCAAATCGTACACATACCTTTGCAACAGTTGTTAAGACTGTTTGTTTTGAATGTTCTTTTATAATTTTTTCCATTACATAGAGAAGTTCTGTCTAGTTTATTCATCACAGACGGCACTTTTTCAAAATAACTAATTAAGGGTGCATCTGGAAAAAAAAGTTATTTGAGTTGCTAATGATATTTTAAGTGAAAATGAATGTGAAAAATTGAATGATGATTTACAAAATATTATTACGGTCGAATAATGAATGATGATTTACAAAATATGAAAACTTCAATTGCTTGCAAATGTGTAATAAATTTTTCAACAATTTGTCTCAAACCGTTCGGTAATGCAATGTAATACCATTAGTAAATATTAGATCTTTTTAATTTCTACACATAACTTTCTTCTTTTGAAAATGAATATTGAAGAGCTGATTCCCCCCCCTCTCTCACTTTTTGTTTAAGTATAGTCATATTAGGGTAATGTAGTACTGTTTGTGGGAAAATTAGTTAGTACTGAAAGAAGTGTGCCTACCCAATTCCCTTCCAAAAAGGGATTTTCGAGTTTGAACTTTAAATTTAAAATTGAAATATTGTATAAATATACACAACAAATGTGAAATTCTATCCAGATAAGGTACGTTAATGGTCTGTGTGTTACTTTAAGTTCATACAACGTGGATATAATTCCACGCTTTAAAGTATTTTAATTCCTGATAAGTACATCAGGCAGAAACAGTAGTGATCAGAAACTCACCTTTCATATATTTCCTTTAATGCTATAAACGTTTTATGACTCATTTCATGTAATACATTATCGCCCTGTTTCTGTTTTGCTTTCATATTCCGCGTAAATTACAGGTGTTTTTTTCGTCGAGAGGGACATTAAACAGTATACAATCAATCAATCAATCAATCGTCTTAAAAAGAATATGTATATTTTTTGTTCAGATTTAGTCCAAAATATGTTACGTCATGTTTTAGATGTTTTATGTGCCAGGAATACGTCACAACCCGCGCCATTACGAAAACAGGGTTCTGCAACCGGAACCGATTTTCGATACTTGCGAACCGAGGAAAATGCCGAAATTATAATTTATCAATAGCACAAATATATTTTCACCGGAGTGTATATTTTATATTCTACCAATAAAACGATGTTGGTGGGTACCAAAGGCATTGTACCATTGATAGCTTAATAAGGTGTGAAGTAGAGAATGTAAGCCCAAAACATACCCTCTTCCTTAGAACATTCTCATTCATAAGTTATAAAGTACATACACGTCAGATATACAGTACGTCTATTCTTTCAAATACCTGCTATCAGTAAATACATATTTTTCTTGACCAAGTGGTTAGTTTGATAACTTGGCCAATCCTTGCATGTATTTACAGCTAATACGTATTAGGATTGTTCAAAAAGTTCGTGGACAATGACGTTTTTGTGAAAATAATTGGTTATATATAAAACTGTTGTATATAAAAATATTTCGTATGAAAAAACATGTCAGATTGATTTAATTTTATTTATGGAACATAATATTTTTGTAAAAATCGGGGTCTTTCAAGGTCGCAGATAGTGCGCACGGACCAAGGTTAAAATGATATAAAGTGTTTGCATTAAAATGATTATTTTCTATGTAAAACAAGTCAAAAATTAATAAAAATTTTATGAAACAGACATAAAGAGGCTATAATTATTTTATGATATCATAAGTATCGCTTACTGTATAGACATTGAAAATACTGAAAGAAAACCCTAACAAATATGTGTCAAAACTCGACAGAAAAAGCGACGTCGGCCGTCCGCACGCGGCAGCGTCCGATCAAAAAATAAGTTTCAATGCTGAGACAAAATATTTGTTAAAACAAATCAAAATTATTGAAATATATTGAGTGCATCGATTTGAGATTGGTATATTCGATTTTTCAACGGTGTGTACAAATTCGAAGACTCTACAAGAATTTAAAAACACATATAATTTACTGAAAATGGAGATTTCTATTCATGACGTTGTTGTAAATCTAGCGTACTGTCGGACTGGGCTATGTGTATACAAACTGTTTATCTAGGTGATGCTCGTAAATTTTTGTGCATTGTCTTGAATTTTAAAAAAAATTAAATAAATTATTATCTATGCTTGAAGATTATTGCTAGCACTTCGAAGTACGTTGCGCCTTAAAAAAGATATGTAGTGTGTGTCCATGAACATGTATGAAGGATTTTAATGTATAATGAAGGAATTTTGAACGATTTTATATAATTTTAAACTAGTTAAAACACATTGCTAGATAACAATAAAAGTTACATAAACCAAATTTACAAGACTGATAACATGTAAGGAGATAGACATTTTGCACATTAAAAATTTTTGAAGTGTTATCTGCCCTTGAAGAAAAAAAGAAAATTTGTGATTTTTCAAAATTTCTGCGGTAAATATTCATTTTATTTCATAGTATAATAAGGAGGGAGTTTATGCATATATTCACCACGAGATTTGTTTGAAATTCAAATTACTTTTTACAATATCTTATTAAAACACGTGCTGCCCATAGACTTCAATGTAAATTTCAAGGTGAAATAGATTGGACAATAATCAAAATTGTGTAAATTTCTTTGGTGGAGCATTGTTATTTCATAACATCTTCAAAATACTACCATGGTTAAAAATATCGGACCATTCCTTTATTAGATAAAAAATATGATCGTTATACACTGAATACGTCAGACTGGTCCGTGCACACAATCTGTGACCTTTTCAGACCCCGATTTTCACAAAAATATTAAGTTTCATCAATAAAAATTAAATCATTCCGACTTATTTTTTCATAAAAAATATTTTGATATACAATAGATGCTTATAGAACCATTTATTTTAACAAAAACTTCATTGTCAACGAATTTTTTGGACAACCCTTAATTTATATCAGTAAAATATCTTCTGCAGTGAACTTTTATTTGTGACAGTATGATGGAAATAGCTAATGTCATTCAAGTACATTATATTTATATTGTTTTTCATGAATGAAATTTGTGCCAGGTATTTAACATCATTTTATTTTCTATTCAATTTAGTGATCTTTTTCATGTTTTGTAAATTTTTCACTTTTATTACTAATGATGTTCGTCTGCAGTACCTTTAAACTACAAATTCAATTGGTTTTAGACGATTACCTAAATAAGAAATATGTACATTTTTAATGGACATGGACAACAGAATAAAAACTATAATCGGCGGGTAGCTCATAAAAATTTAACTGTTGTCCTATGTTTTCTGTGTGATAGATATATTTTTTATGGAAACATGACTTAAATGAAATAAAAAAAAAAGTTTATATAATAAAGAATGGATTGTTACAAAAATTTATTTATAATCTCTTCAAGATAAAAGAAAGGGTTTTGTGATACATTTTCTAATACTAGTATAAATAAAGTGATACAATGAAGACAAACTGAATAATGTTATAAGTAAAGGAGAAAAGTTAAAAAACAAATACTTTACATATCAGAAAAACAATCCAAACACTGTAAAATCCCATTTTCAACTGAAGTGGAAAAACCCAAGTTTTATTTATATAGAACCTATTAGAGCTTCATTACCTTAAAAATATACAAGAACATACCAAACACTGACCTCTAAAACATCATGGCACCACGGTTAGGTGCCATGGAAGAGTAAGCATCCCCCGTCTACTTGACACACCCGCCATGGCCTCCCTACCATAATCGATTGAACGGTAAAAATCCATAGACAATTCAGTGTGAAAATAATGGTTATTTTTCAATCCCTAAAATTTCATTTATTTTATTTTCTTGATGAGGACATTTGCCTAAAATATTTTGTTAACTCGGCTAGTGCTACTTATAACGGGACTCGTTACAGGTTTTTTCCTAACTGTCTGATAGTGCCCAATTCTATGGCACGCCAAATTCACAAAAATGACCTAAACATGATTTCACAGTTGATAAACTAGGTTTATCGACTGTAAACCGTGAACTATAGTTAACAATTCGTTAATTATAGTTTTCATCTGTAAATTAAACTATATTTGACGGTTGTTAACTATAGTTTACGAATGCTAATCTAAGTTTATCTGTCTGTAATAAAACGTTAACAATAGATTTTGTTGAAAAACATAGATTCACGTCTGTAAACTATAATTTATAATCGTGAACTGTAGTGAAGAGTTGTTAATCATAGTTTCACAAATCGTGAAACTATATTTTAGATCGTTAACTAAAGTTAAGAGTTGTTAACCATAGTTTACAAATCGTGAAACTGTATTTATCAAATAATCTATGTTTTGCAATCGCAAATAATTGTTTTCAGTGTTAAGTATATTTTACGGTTCTGAAACATAGATTATCGCGTTAACTATAGTTTACAGATTAATATTATGGCACGCCAAATTCACAAAAATGAGCTAATCATAGTTTCACAATCAATAAACTAGGTTTATCGGTTGTAAACTATAGTTTACGGACTGTAAACTATAGTTATCAAAGTTAATCTTTATTTTACATCTGTAAACCATAGTTAACGAGAAAATCTATGTTTCACAACCGTAAACTATACTTAACACCGAAAACTATCATTTGCGATTGCAAAACATAGATTATCTGATAAATACAGTTTCACGAATTGTAAACTATGGTTTACAACTCTTAACTACAATTAACGATCATAAACTATAGTTTACAGGAGTGAATCTATGTTTATCAACAAAATCTATTGTTAACGTTTTATTACAGACAGATAATCTTAGATTAGCATTCATTAACTATAGTTAACAATCGTTAAATATAGTTTTACAGATGAAAACTATACTTAACGAATCGTTAACTATAGTTTACTATTTGTAAACTATAGTTTACAGTCGATAAACCTAGTTTATCAATTGTGAAACTAGGTTTAGCTCATTTTTGTGAATTTGGCGTGCCATACAATATAGATTAACTTTGTTTACCATAGTTTACAGTCCGTAAACTATAGTTTACAACCAATAAACCTAGTTTATCGACTGTGAAACTATTTTTTGTTAAGTTTTGTGAATTTGGCGTGCCATACAATTCTATTAAAAACTTAATAAACAGGTCGAGACCACTAGATTTTCTGACGTCAGCATAAATTTGCATGTAAATTAGCTATCTGTTTACTTTACCCAATGATGAATGATTCGCAATGCATTGTGGGCTACTACAAGTACTCAGCTGTGTTGAAATTAAGGCCAACTTGAATTGTCTCTTAGAAACTTATTTTCAATTCTTTTTTTAATGTTTATGGAAGAAATATTGTAAATGGTGTATAATCTTTCATTTCTATGCTCACATTTGAAATATTTGCTTTATGAAGCCTTATATCAACTTATAATACATCGGCCTCAGCCATTGTTCGAAGAGACGTACATGTAGGTGCTATAGTGTCGATAAAGCATTGAGTTTTTTTTTTCACGTGATATACGTGTACATAGTTTTAGACAGAATTACAAGGTGTGCTATTATTATTTAACCCCTAAATATTATCAAAAAGTTTTTAATGTACAATCAAACATCAAAGCGTCTGCACATCATTCGAACTTTCGAAGCAATTATTAATCATCTAAAACAACTCTAATATTAAATGTGAGCATGGAGCAATGTCTTTGGAATGTAATCTTCCAATTTCGGACTTAAAAAGTGATAAAGAAGCTCTACGGTTTTTCCGGTGAGGAAGTGAATATTATGGAGAAACCGATGAAAATCACGTGCCGCCATTGAATCGTCATGCTTTGGGACTCATTCACTTGATTGGCGAACGGGTGTGACGAAGATATCGTCACGTGTTGAAAATTGCCTTCCATATAAGGTAGTGGTCTTTGATAGCCAGTCCTACCTTTATTTTCCAAAGTATTTCATCGGAACAACATGCTATATATGTTTATTTTATTTTTTCCTCTATGATAACTTTGAAATCTAAGAAAGTTGATTTCTTAATGGTCTTTTGCGAGAAGCACTGACTTTCACAGTTGACGGTTTACTTGGACATTTAAATCTTGTATCATGTTCGGAGGTACAGAATTGATAATGGAAAAAAAAAACTTTTCTAGTGGTCATAGGTATGATGTCAGCGGCACTTATATGTGAGGACCAGGAGTTGAGGATAGGATGGTTGTCGTTTTCTTCAACTGTTAAAGAACAGCTTATATGTGCACTGAAATTTTCATAGAATATTATTTTGAGCTAAATATTTATACCTTAAAATAGCTTCCGTACATTTTCCTAGCGGAAAAGTAACTCGTCAACTGTTTAAGTCAGCGCTCCTCGCAAAAGTCCAATAATTACAACTGAATGAATACAAGTGAAAGGTCAAAGCTTCACATGTCTGTCAATCTCAAGCTGCAGATCTGTAGCTTTATGGTTTTATATATTTGTCTTTGACCATAACGCTACAGATCCTGTAATGCAAAACAGGTGCAATTTACGGCGCAATATTTTTTGCGCTCTTTTGGGGAGAATTTCTCTACTTTCCAGCATCGGTCAATTAACTTCCTTTTACTCCCTAATTCTAGGCACGTTATTTACTTAATCTGTATATTTTATCTATCTCCCAACCCCTTATAGTCGTCTCTACAAGTTATAAACTCGCTTGATTAAAATTATTTGTTAGATTGCTGAAAAGTCACTTCAAGCGAGTTTATTGCCTGTAGAGACAACTATAAATGGTTGAAAGGTGGATAAAATATACATATTGGCTACAGAATGTGTCTAGAATTAGGGAGTGAAAGGTAGTGAATTGACCAATGCTAGAAAGTGGAGAAATTCTCCCCAAAAGAGCGCAAAAATATTGCGCCATAAATTGCACCTTTTTTGCATTACAGGATCTGTAGCGTTATGGTCAAATACAAATATATAAAACCATAACGCTACAGATTTGCAGCTAGTCAATCTCGTGCTGTCTTTGTGTCTGACGGACATCACTGGGTGGGAGTTATTGGAATTAACATTTTAAAATGTATCTTTATTCAAGTATACATCTTTTTTTTTAATTAACAATTTTATTTCAAATAGAAATGTAAGTATAAGAAATCACTATTTATAAAGATTGGGCATCAACGACAGTGTCCTAGTATAAAAAAAATTGTTAAAATTCAAACAATCTACCGATTAAAAAAAGCTAGAGAAATTCAAATATTGCAATCTTAATTCGGTACACATACTGTATATGTCTTTACATTCAATTTCGATAGTATCATAATGTAGAAACACATTATACTCTTTTATATTCTAAATATCCTCCTGTTTGATTAAAAACAAATATTTTAGCAATTGGTTTGAGATATCTGATGATCAAACTGAAGTTGTAAACATCATATTACTTTCTAATAATGTATCGTACAAAATCAAACTCAAAACAAAATATAGTTCCTTTTTTCAAGTAACATTCAAACGGAAGGATATATCATTTCTAAGATACCTGATAATAAACTCCTTATCAAACTAATATGAATATCGTAAATTTTTAATCAAAAGTTACAACAGCAATATCAAAAATATTCATAAAACCCTCGCCATCTATCACGTTTACTTTCCCTCGCCCAAATTTCGCTTATATTTCAAGACAGTAACCATGTATCAAAGTTCATAAAACAATACAAAAAAGGAGCAGAGCAAACAAGGACCTCCAAAACATCAGAGGTGGGATTAGGTGCCATGGAGGAGTGAGCATCCCCTGCCGACCGGTCACACCCGCCGTGTACTCCTTGTCGTGATTGGGAAATAACGGGAAAATCCGTCGTCAATTCAGTGTTTAAATGATTACTGATGTTTGCGTCTCTGCTTATTATTTATAAGATTTTTATATATTAAAAACTATGTATGCTGTAAAAAAACTCTTTGTAAACAATGTATTGTATGGTATTTATATAAATAAATGAAAACAAAAATCAGTGTGTAAATAATGGTTTCTCTGGTTGGTTTACACAAGCCAAACACGGTTATCTTTCTTTTGAGACATTGTAATATCGCAATCATTCTAAGTATAAAGAAGCACAGAATATTTCTTCTTTTTCTCTGAACATTTAAAAAACATCTTAAATTTTATCAAAATAAAAATAAATTTAGCAAATATTGTCACATTTCATATAAGATATAGAATCAGATTGTAACATTAGTAACAAATTCAGCGAATTAAATAGAAACCTCGAGTCCTCTCGAAATCTTTTTTTAAAATACAATATTTACGACACTGAAAATAAATCATGCAAAGACAAATTGCGGGTACAATAAGTGATTCACAAATCCTCTTTCAGTATCATACAAGGGTTGTTCGAAAAGTTCGTGGACGATGTCAATCTTCGTTATATTACTTACTAGAAATCTAAAAGAAGCACAATATGATATGTAAAAATATTTGTTTTGTTGATGTGTGAAGTTTCATTCCATATATTTAACAGAAATAAATATACTTCATTTTAAAATCAACATGTTTTGTACCTGTGGAGCACACTTAATGACAATGTAACGTCAAAACATAGTGTCAAGAATTTCTAAAA